TTTTTTTTTTTTTTTTGGGCTTTGATAAAATATAGACAGTTATTTTCCTTAATGCAGGTCCACATGAGTGTCCCTCATGTTGAACAATTTGTTGACTTGCTTGTCTCTATCCCTGCCAAAGGTCATCTGAACTCATTTTTTTATGTTATGTCTGAATGGACCCAACACCAAGGCAAGTCCTCATGTTAATTAGACTTTTGTTTGTTAGTGTGAGTGAAATACATTACTTCACACATACAGAGAAGAAATAATATTCTCTATTCGTGTTTCTTCTTTCATTTTCCTTTTCATTTTTCAATATAAACATTCACTTTGTTTAGAAAATTTGTTAATCCATCGATTTGGTTTGTTTTGCTTATTACTTCCAGGGGAAATTCAAGGAGCCTACCAAATTAAAGTGACAACTACTGCTTTGGCTTTGTTGCTTTTGACTAGACATGTTGAATTGGGGAACATTAATGTTAAAGGCCATCTTATCAAGGTTAGATTTTACCCCTTATACATCTGCCACTTATTGTACCTTTTCAAAAAGCTCACTTCCTCTTATATATTTTATAGACTGACACAGGCATAACCACTCGCTCAAAAGCCAGGAGAATACCAGATCAATGGACAGTCGTGCCACTTCCTGCTAAGGTATTAGTTTATGCATGTTATTTTCAAATTAATGTGAAAGTGAAAAATGGTTTATAATTGATGTTCTCTTTTTCTTTTTTTTTATTCCTTTTTAAAGTTTTAGTTTTAATTTAAAACTCTTACATGCTTTCTGGGCACAACAGATTCTGGCTATACTGGCAGACACTTTAATAGAAATCCAAGAACAAGTAGATGGGGATAATGAGGTAGTTTGCCGTGATTTAGTTTACATTTACACTATCACATCCATCACTGTGAAGCTGGATTTAGAAAATCTTTGGAAAATTGATTTTTGGCAGGATAGCGACTGGGAAGAAGTTGAGAATGAAGATGATGATTTCTTATATTCTTCTGCTAATTCCGCATCACATGGCAGACCTACTTATGAATATCTCGATGCCATGGCAAAGGCATTTAATGAGGTTTGACTAGCTGCACATCTTTAAAGATTTCCAATCCTTTAACGGTTAACTACTAAAGTTACCTCATGGAAATTCAAGTTCCTCTGAAGTCTAAGTAAAAATTGGAACAAATTTTGTAATTCATTAAATCGATACACTCCTTATTGCCTAATTTGTAAGATATAAACAAATTTTAAGGGGGCTTTCTTTCAATTGGAAATGTAATTTAGTTGTAATTAGAATGAACTCATTGTGCTTGGTTCTTCAACTATCCGCTTGTCCAATTCTCCTTCGATTCTTCTGATTTGAATTTGGTTCCATCGACTTATTAAGGACCAAGAAGATGACTATGAAGATGAACTTCTTAGTGGTGTGGATCCTCTAAATGAGGTAAACCTTGTATTTGATTGCTAACTGTTTCCCCGAGTATTTAATATATTCACTTGTTTTTTAACATCTGTTATGCAGATCAATTTAGTGAACTTTCTTTTCGAATCCCTCGCAAAATTCTCGGAGGGCGACAGACCATATTTTGAGCATCTATTTCAGGTCTAGTTTCATTCTATCAAGTTTGTCAATTATTAATTTTACCCATTTGGCACCATTAAGTCAGTAACTCTTCTGGAATATGGAGTCCCATTTGAATCTTGATTTCTCGAATGCAGAGCTTAACAAAGCCTCAACGAAAAGCTATTGAATTGGTTTTAAGACGACGGGCATTGTGATTTGTGCAGTGCAAAGTATGCCGATCTTTGTATGTGCCAGTACATTACACATCTTTTTGTTTGTTTGTTTGTTTGTTTTTTTTTTTTTTTTCAATTGATTTATTTCATTTTGCTGATGAGCTTGTGAACAGCAGTGGGGATTTACTGTACCGTACATGTTTGATTGTGTAAACTATGAAGATAGTGTTATAGAAGGATGGAAAAAGGTTTCATCCGAAACTCAACGAGTATTTTGTTTGGCCAATTCAAAAACTTCGGGATTGTTTGTGGGCATTTGTAATTCTCTTATGGTGGAGTTGTTGATTATTATAATTATAATTATTATATTATTATTAGATTGAAGTTTCTGGCCACCATTGGTAGTTGATTATTAGAGCTACCAATGTGCACGTGTACAAATATAAATTAAAGAGTATTATAAATTATGTGTATATGAGATATTAAAATTATAAAATATGTAATCTGTGTATCACATTTTATAAATTTGTCCATTAATAAATGAACAGTGTAAATATAAATTATTTAACTACACATGAATCTCTATATTAATTGCATAAAATTAACATATTTAATTTTACTTTGAGGTATTATGTCAAGTTAATTACATATAAAAATATTGAAACAGTAAATATTTATTATTATTTAAGGTATTATGACAAGTTGATTACATAGAAAAATATTGAAACAATAATATTTATATCGTTGTTTGTTTAAGGGGTTTTTCCATGGTATTAAATTAATTCTATAAGTAAAAAAATAATAATATTTTTGAAGTAAATAGCTTGAAAAAAATGCTATGTAACTTTTAATGATTATGTAACTTACATATACTATTTAGTGTAAATTATAATTAGTTGATTTTAGTAATAACTATCGTATGATTGAATAATTAAATAAAATATGATTACACATGATTTATAAAAATTATTTACAATAAGAATCGGTAAGAATATATATATATATA